GAACAAAAGAAGACACCGTGTGCAGACGCGCCCGTCGCTCGCGGGGCCTCCGGGGTGCGCTCCTCCTCCCCCTCCTCCTCCTCCCCCTCCTCCTCCTCCTCCTCCTCCCCCTCCTCCTCCTCCCTCCTCCTCCTCCTCCTCCTCCTCCTCCTCATCCTCCTCCTCCTCCTCCTCCTCCTCCTCCTCCTCCTCCTCCTCCTCCTCCTCCTCCTCCTCCCCTCGCGCGGCGAGGACCCGCGGCTTCTCGGTCGCCTCCTCGGCAGTGGATGTGTCCGCGGCCTCCGCCGTGGTGGCGGCGAGGGGCGCGCCGTTCCTGCTGGAGCTGGTGTTTGCGGAGGCCTCCTGGTCAATTTCACCGGAGACTGCTCGATCAGATTTAGGAGGAGCTTTGCCTCGATCGCACTTGGTAAAATCGGGGAGGAAGGGTTTTCTTTTGGCTTTCTGTGGAAATGACCTCCGCCCCTTTTGGGGGGCGCCGGCCTGCCTCAGCAAGCGACAACCCGACTCCCACCCCCGAGGCGCCGATTCGGGGGATCTACATGGGGGGGCGATAAGTGGGGGGCAGCGAAGGCTGCCGAAGAGGGGCCCTCTTAGCGGCCCCAAAAGGGGCTCTTTAGAGCCTGCAAGGGGGGGGGCCTTAGGGCCCGAGAAGTGCACCTTTCTCCCCCCCCCTCCCATTAAGCGACGTCTAAGACTGGGGGCTGGGACGTGTCCTGGATCCTTGGATCACGAAGGCCCACGCCCACCCCCAGCCCCGACCCCCTGGATTGCGGGTCCGGGGATTGGGTCGGGACTGGGGGTGGGGGGTGGGCGATGGGTTTTCGCCTTCCCCTTGCCCCTCCGAGAGGGGAGGGTCCCGCGCATACGACGTCCCCTCGGGTCTGGGCGATGCCTTTGGTGCACGCTGGCCGTTTCCTTGGGCTCGTGCCCCCGCACATATCGATTTGGATTGAACAAGGCTACAGGGAGATTGTGCCTTGGGCTCCAGTCGTGATGTTTCACGATGTTGCATTTTTATTTGCCACGTTGGATCTCAGGGGGGAGCCCACGCATCCACTGTCCTGGACAAACGTCAGGACCGAAGCGTCTCGTCGTTCTCTCAGCCTCTGGGGACCCTGGGCCCGGGGAGCTGGTGTTCGCGGAGTTCTCCGTTCCTTTGGGCGCCGATCTGCCCCTCCGAAGGTGAGGACGAGGGAGGAAGATAAGGAGGAGAGGGAGGTCCAGAGGAGGAAGAGGTACCGATACCGCCACCCTTGGCTTCGCTTTCGCATTTTGGGGCTTGCTGGGAATCCTGCGTCGCCATAGTAGTTGGGAGGAGGAGGAGGAGGAGGAGGAGGAGGAGCAGGATGATGATGATGATGATGATGATGATGATGATGATGATGATGATGATGATGATGATGATGATGATGATGATGATGATGATGATGATGATGATGATGATGATGATGATGGTGGTGGTGGTGGTTGGTGGTGGTGATGATGGTGATGATGATGATGCTGCTGCTGATTATGATGATGATGATGTTGATGATGATGAATGATGATGATGATGGATGTGATGATGGATGATGATTATGATGAGATGAGGGATGAGGATGAGGATGAGGATGAGGATGAGGATGATGATGATGATGATGATGATGATGATGATGATGATGATGATGATGATGATGATGATGAGATGATGTGATGAGGCTGCTGCTGTTGCTGCTGCTGATGATGATGATGATGATGATGATGATGATGATGATGATGATGATGATGATGAGGAAGAGGAAGAGGAGGAGAGGAGGAGGAGAGGAGGAGGCGGAGGAGGAGGAGGATGAAGTAGTAGTTGGGAGGAGGAGAGGCGGAGGGAGGAGGAGAGAGAGGGGAGAGGGAGGCGGAGGAGGAGGAGGAAAGGTGAGGAGGAGGAGGAAGGAGGAGGAGGAGGAGGAGGGGAGGAGGGGAGAGGGGAGGGTTAGAGGGAGGCGGAGAGGAGGAGGAGGAGGGGGCTCGAGGAGGCCGTGCGACCGTCGGGTCGGACGTGCTCCTCCTGCGCCACGCGCCCCGCCGGCGGAGCACTGCTGTCTTGAACGCGTCGGGGGGGGCTGGCTCTGCCGTTTTGTTCGTGCTCCGCCCGTGCGCCTGCTTCGGGAGAAGAGCAACATCACGAGGGACAAGCCACACACAGACACAACCAATCGTCGACACCCCCGAAAATAGGGAAACACGTGGGAAGTGGGGGAAGACGAACACCCAGACAATATGGGCAAATCTGGGGGATCCTGTTATTTGTGTGTATGTATTGCGAAGGCCTTTCGGCCAGTGCCGCCGACCCTGAGAACGACGAAGATGAAAACGAGGGGGGGGGGGGGCAGGGGGAGGAGGAAGAGTGGGAGGTGGAGGAAGGGTGGAGGAGGTGGATGAGGGAGGAGGAGGGGGGAGAAGGATGTGGAGGAGAAGCAAGAGGAGGAGAAGGAGGCAGAGGAGAGCAGGAGGAGGGGGAGCAGAGGGGGGGGAGGGGGAGGAGGAGGAGGAGGAGGAGGAGGAGGAGGAGGAGGTGGAGGAGGAGGAGGAGGAGGAAGAAGAGGAGAAGGCCAGAGGCTTTCTTGGGACAGCCTGGGGCTCTCTTGAGGCCGTCTTGGGCCGTCCAGGGCTCCTCTTGCGCCGTCTCGAGGCACTCTTGGAGGCCTCCTGGGCAATTTGGGGCTCTCCTGGGCTGTCTTGGGGCAGTTTGGGGGCCCCTTAGGAGCCTCTTGGGGCCTCTTGGGGCTTCTTCGGGGCCTCTTGGGGGCCTCTTGGGGTTGAGAGCTTGAAATGTCCGTTCGGGTCCCCCGTTTGGGCACTCTCCTGGAGCCGTCTTGGGGGCCTCTTGGGCCGTCCTGGAGGCGTCTTGGGCCGTCTTGGGGCCCTCTTCGGCCGTTAGGGGGACCCTCTTGGGGGCCTCTTGGGCCGTCTCGGGGCGATCTTAGGGGCCTCTTGGGCCGTCTTGGCGCTTCGGGAAGCGGAAGAGGCAAGAACGCCAAGATCTTTCAAACACGTATAGGAAATCCATGATTTTTGCCTCTTGGGGCTCTCGTGGGAAAGCTCCTGGAGGCCTCTTGGGGCGCTTTGCAGGCCTCTGGGGCCGTCTGGAGGCCGTCGAGGCGTCTTGGACAGATCGTTCGGCGATTCGGGGTTCTCTTGGACTGTCTTTGGGGCCTCTTGGGGCACTCTTGGCCCGTCTTGGGGCTTTTTTGGGCGCCGGGCCTCCCAGGGCGGGCGTCTGACCCCCCCCCCCCGGGACCCCCCCCGACCCCCCCCCACCCCCCAGGCGGGGGAGGGATCGAAGGGAAGGGGCTTCCCTGCGACTCAACTACCACGTTCCTCAACTTCGCTTTGGCTGGCGCGCTGAGGAGGTCCCTGGGAAAGGGGGGAGCTTCGACGAGCCCAGGGAAAGGGGGGAGGCAGGGAAAAGGGACGATAGAGGCGTCGACCAACGAATGACGGAGATGACGACTTGAACGGACAAGCCCCTCACACACGCCGACAGGGTCGGCGGATGTGTCCCTGGGATCCTTCATAACAACACGAGCATCAACTTTCGGAGCTCCGCCCGGATTTTTTGGATCGGCGCTGGGCCCCCCCTGGCGGCGCATCCGGCGCCGCCCCTGGCGCGCCCCGCGCGCCCGGGAGGGGGGTCCAGCGCAGACCCAAGAATGCTTCGCGGACCCTGGACAGTTTATGCTTATGCAGGAGTGGGTCTTCTTCTTCTGTTTCTTATCCTTATTATTATTATTCTCCTCCGTCTTCTTCTTCTTCTTCTTATTATTATTGTTATTACAACAGCATCCCTGTTAACGCTTGACCGCAATTCGGACCCAAGACGCCGTAGATCACCTCCCAGGCCCGTGGTACTCCCCAGAATCATTGTCTCATCATGACTATGTTTAACGTCCTCGGGTCTTCTTCAAACCAGACAGCGCTTGGTCATGGAAAGTGGGGGGGGGGAGCTGTGGGTCTTCGCGCGTTCGCGCGCCGATGCGATTGCCGGGCCCCGTGCTTTTTCAAACAGGTATCGTTGGCGCTGTGTCATTTTACGCCGCTTGCGCGACCATTGACGTAAGTGCCCCCACGTCTTTTGTCGTTCGCGAGCGTTTCGGTGCCATGCCGCCGCCTTCGGGGGCGTCAGCTTTGCTTCAGTTCTGGTCTCTTTCGTGTTGTCCCGATTCCCAGAGTTTACTAGTCTCACTTCGACCCGGCGTCCCTCTTGTCTTTCAGTTTCGTCCTCTTCAGCCCTCCGATTCTTAGGCATACTCGTCGTCTTCGTTCCCCCGCCCTCGCATGTTAAGCCCCTTCTACTCCACCTCCTCCTTGTTCCCCTGAGCCCATTGAGAGCCTATCGGGGCCCTCTTGGGACCCCTTCGAGTCCATGTGTACGGTGCTTCTTGGCTTCGGGCCCACTTGGGGCCATCTTGGCCTGCGCCGGAGGGCTTCTGGGGGCTCTCTGTCAAGCTTGTTCTGGGCCCTCTGGGGCTCTCCGAGGGCCCCCGAGTCCAGATGCACTGCAAATTGGCTTTGAACAGTGTGGGGGCCATCTTGGAGCTTGTTTGAAGGCCTCCTGGGGCTTCCCTGGGACCTCCTCCAGGCCCCATGGGAGTTCCACGAGGGCCCCCGAGTGGAGATGTACGGTGCACGTTGACTCTTGGGCCCTGCGGGGACCACCATGGAGCCTGGCTGAAAGCGTCTTGGGGCCTTCTTACTCTTCCCCCCGATGGCTTCGTGGGGGCTTCCCGGGGAATATCGAGTCGAGATGCACGGTGCAATTTTTACTTTGGTCTTGGGGGGGGGGCCATTCTAGTTCGCCCCAGGGCATGTTTGGGCTTTCCTTCAGGGCATCCTCAGGGCCCCGAGGGAGCTCTCCGAGGGCCCCCATGGAGCCCGCCTGAGAGCGACTTGGCGCCCTCTGTGGGGCCCTGGGGGCAGATGGTGAGGACGATCACGACTATCTTGAAGACGAAGGCGATAACGAGGAGAAATAGGTGATACGGAATGTCAGGATGATGACGGGATCAAAGAGGAGGACGCACTCGAAGAGAAGGCGGAGTGGGGGCGAGGAGGACGTGAGACATTGCACGAGGAGGTGGGCCCCACTCCCACGCGCACTTTTTGCCCTTCAGAATGATGCCCCTTTCCCAGGGCTCTGTCAGATCCACCCTGGAGGGGGGGACCGCCAACCTCGGACGCTTAGATTTCGTATCGTTGTTCACCGTATGATGCGGGGAGCGGTTCGCGCAGGAGCGTTCGGGAGACCTTCGGAAAACCAGTAATCAAGGGTCCACCCCCTTCCAACTATTAGGGGCCCACCCCATCTCAGACATTCAGGATCCACCCCCTCTTCCAACAGGAAGGGTCCACCCTGCTCCAAACAGTAAGGGCCCACAATCAAAGGTCCAGCCGAAACGATGAAGGGTCCACGTTTCGTCCTCGTTGGCATCGCACTTCTGATGATCCATGCATCTGTTATGATGGCGGCGAGCGGCCTTCGGAAGAGCGTCGTGTGCAGCAGGACGCGCCGCCTGCCCGACTGCACAAGCGCCAGAGTGAATTGCGCAGTGTCCAACAGCCCCCCCCAGAAGAAACCGCCCTGCTCGCGAGGCGCACATGGCTCCAATTGCCCACGACCTTAGCTGTGGAGGACCATCCATGGAGAGGAAGCATGCTGCCAAATACTTCCCAGATGTCCAACAGATGTTTGTGCCAACCATGCTTTAAACATGTAAACAATTGTCAAAACAGGTTCAGGACAGTTGCTCCGACAGTTTAAACACATGTTTAAACTCGATGATCGGATTGTTAGGGTGTCCATCGTCGTGGCACCCACCACACTGAGGATAGGGAGGGGGGACCGCCAGATTCGACGCACGCGGGCTGTGTTGACGCAGTCCGCGGGTCTCGCCTCGGGCCGCCTCTGGGCCCATTGGGGGCCGTCAGGGCCTGCTCCCGGGCGCGGCGACCCCCCTGGCCAGGCGCGCCGCGACTCGGTGTTCTGCCTCGCGCTCCGCTCTCCCGCCCGCGACCCAAAAAAGGGCAGAACAGCTCAACGAAGTGCTGTCAGAAGGGGAGAACATAAACAGAGACACAATGAATCGTCGATTCCCCAGAAAATATGGGAAGCTATGGGAAGTGGGGGGGGAAGGCGCAAACCCAGAACACATGGGGAACGTTTGGGGAATCCTGTTATCTGTGCCTGTTTATTTGTGTGTCCCAGGGCCCCCTCATATTGTTGGGGCACTTGGCGTCGGAAACAGGGCACATCGTGCTTTCAGGGGCACGCAGACCGAAACCAGTCGAACACCATCTGGAGGTCCCGAGGAGACCCCGAGAGCCCCTGAATCAGACAGGCCTCGGAACAAAAATAGCGAACACTCATGCCACATTCATCTGTCAACGCCTCCCCCGCCCCCCAATGTTCGAAGTTGGCCGTGGGTCTGATGAGTTGCACCTCGACCGCAGTCTCCCCCGCGCGTGCCAACTTTGTGTTTGGGGAGCAGGGGGGGGGGGTACTAATTATTTCCCTCTACCGGATCACGAGGAGCTCCGAGGAACCCATTCGAGGGCCCAAGAGGGGCCCCAGGGGGCTTCAAGAACCCTGCAGGACGTCTGGACCAGACGGTCTTCCACGGACCGTGTGATCGAGGTGAAGCCATCTTCCACGGGTCGTTGGGCAGAAGGCGGTGGGGCCCAAGCGGACGCCTCGCAAAAGCTGGACAATCCAGGAACACACCTTGGACGAGGCGCCCAGGGCCTCCTGGATATCTTTTGAGGCACTCTTCGGTCACTCGTGAGGCCCTCCTGGAGCCCTCTGGGGACCTTCTTGGACCTAGTTAGGGTGTCGGCCCGGCACCTGGCTCTTGGGCGTTCTTGGGGCCCGAGGAGGAGGAGGAGGAGGAGGAGGAGGAGGAGGAGGAGGAGGAGAAGGAGGAGGAGGAGGAGGAGGAAGACTTTCCGGGGCTCCCGTGGCCCCACCCGGAGCCCTCCTGGTCGCATTCCCGGCTGCCCTTGCTGGCCGGTCGGGCACTGCAGCTCGACGAAGGCGCGGGGTCAGCTCCAACGCAGCACCACTTCGGCGTGGTCTTTTCAAATTTTCGAAGGGAAATTCGCGGGCGTTGTTTCTCCCCCAATCCTCGAGTTTCGCCCGAAAAGTTTGGCCGCTCAGAAACATGGGAAAACCCTGGAATACACACCAAGGGGCTATTCGGACGCACCCCTTATGGAGGATGGACGCCCCCCATCGTATCTCCCAGGGTTGGGCCCCTCATTTTGGTCCCTCCGAAACCTTTCAAAGCCTGGGATAGGGGTCGACATTCCCTCCGCTAAAATCTGCGAATTGGGGGTCCCTTGGATCCGTCCCGTGAGCCCACGAGGCGACGCAGCTCAAGTCGTGTTTTGTCGTGCTCGGCCTCTTGGGGGTCCCCGCAGGGCCCCATGGCCTGGGACGGCAACCCTTGGGGAGGGGGTCCGGGACTTCGGGGGCCCCGCACCGAGCACGAGGAACCAAGGCGGCGGATCTCTGGGGAGCAGCGGCGATTTTCGTGGGCATCCCTTGTGGCCCCCACTCAGGAGGGAACAGGTGGTCCTCGCCGCGGTCTTGTCTGCCAACAGTCGCCTCCGCCGGCGGTCGCTCCTGCCGGCGATGGCTTTCTCCAAGTTTGTCTTCGCCAGTGCCGTTTTCGCCCGGGTCGTCTTCGCCAGGGTCGTCTCAGCGTGAACGTACGTCTTCACTGCGGTCGTTTTCGCCGGGTCGTTTTCGCCGACGGTCGTCTTAGTGCGGTCGTCTCCGCGCGGGATGCAGCAAAGGATTCGACTATCAAACATATTTTTCCACGTGCATGAAGTATTGCTTAGTCCGCGAACGCATGTTTTCGTAAAATCGCCACAGAAGGAACCACCGCCATCCGCAAAAGGCGTGAATGTGTAACTTGCCGCAAAAGGAATTAATTTGTATTCCGCCACGACGAAACAACATGTTAGAGAAGACGAGGAGGAAGAGGATAATGGTGATCGAGGGGATGGGCAGTGGGTGCGACGCCGCTTCTCATAGGTGTCCAACTTTTGGTAACGAAAAGGAGGCGTGCACGAAGTCCTTTCCAAACCAATAAGGGGTTGCTTTGACTGCGGAGATGGCGCTGCCGCCGCGGACGGGTCCGCTAGCTCGCGTTGCTTTCCATGGATCCCCCGGTAGTTGGCCGTCGTGTTTTGTCATGTCTGTGCATAACGTGACGTGCCTGTTGTTGCCCCCGGCAGTGAACAGCGCAATTGCCGTGGATGCCAAGCGAGTGCTGCCCGAACACGACTTCATTCTTGCGCGGGCACGAATTCTGGTCGCACGAGCGCGGGATAATTCTCGCACGAGCAAGGAAGTGTCTTTCGCACGAGCACGCAATTATGCTTGCACGGGCACGGGATGAATTCCGCACGACCGCGACATGAGGCACGATTTGTTGCGCGAGCTCCAGCTCGAAATGAGCCTTAAGTCCGGCCTGTCCCTCTACAGGAGAAATATCCCCCCCCAACAAAAATCGGGGTGGGGCTAATTTTCGGAGTAGTTTGAAAATAGTTGGGGTATTTTTGGACAATGTTTTATTTTTCATCCAAAATCCGCCTGTAGGGGGACACGCCCGACCTGAAACGAGCCACGAAATGCTGGAGACGACTCTTCCGCACGAGATTGTTGCGTGAATCTCACAGGCCGTTTCTAGTTTTTTGGGGGCGCTCTCCCAGGCGCGGTTGGCCGCTTGCAAACGAGTCCAGCCCCGTCCTCCTCCTCCTCCTCCTCCTCCTCCTCCTCCTCCTTCTCCCCCTCCTCCTCCTCCTCCTCCTCCTCCTCCTCCTCCTCCTCGTCTGCCTTCTCCTCCTCCTCCTCCTCCTCTTCCTCCTCCTCCTCCTCCTGCTCCTTCTCCTCCTCCTCGTCCTCCTCCTTCCCCTGGTGCGGCCACTCTGGGCGGCAAGTCTGGCGCCACTTCGTGCAGGCAATTTCGTGTGGGCAACTTAGCGCATGCAATTTTGCGCGAGCAATTTCGCGCCCCTGCGTCGTTCCCCTGTCCGCCCATGCTTGTCGGCGGCCGCCGGCGAGCCGGTCTGTGTCTGCAGCGACACGTTGATAGGGCACAGCGCTGCTTACGCTAATGGTCGCAATGTCGACCGCTCGTGCGCATGCAACAATGATGATGAAGGAGCATGGTCCAACGCCCGCACCGTTGGGCGGGCTGCCAGGTGTATCCATCCCGCCGTGCCGCAGATGACTGACCACACGAAATTGCCCATAGCAGTTTCGTGGCCTATTTCGTGCCCTATTGCGTTTCTAAAAGATCAGCCCCTGCCACGGTTCTGGCACATCACGTTTCGGCGCCAGCCGCTCTCCATTTCCCGGTCCCCAGGCGTCAGCGTCCCGGGCCTTTCCGAGCCCCCCGCCCCGCTGAATGGAGCGACGCGCTAGTTATCCGTTCGCAGGGCATAGCGTGTCGCCGTGGCCGCCACCGTGACACGCCAAGCAAACATTCCTGACCGTGAGAGGAGGAGGAGGAGGAGGAGGAGGAGGAGGAGGAGGAGGAGGAGGAGGAGGAGGAGGAGGAGGAGTGGAGGAGGAGGAGGAGGAGGTGGAGGAGGAGGAGGAGGAGGAGGAGGAGGAGAACGAGGAGGAGGAGAACGAGGAGGAGGAGAAACGAGGAGAGGAGAACGAGGAGGAGGAGAACGAGGAGGAGGAGAACGAGGAGGAGGAGAACGAGGAGGAGGAGAACGAGGAGGAGGAGAACGAGGAGGAGGAGGAGGAGGAGGAGATGGGAAAGGGGGCGCGACAAGGGGGAAACGAGGGCGGCGAGAGAAGGGGATACGCAAGAGAGGGCGCGAGAGAGGCGGGGACAGCGGAGGAGCAGCGGGGCGGCTGCAGTCGCACGAGCGATGCGCCCCCCAGAGGGCCTCGACGTCGGCAGCGTCCCGCCAGAGCTCCGGTTCCTGCCCCTCGTGCCCGCGGCGGGACCGCTGGGGCGGCGGCGGGATCCCGCCTTCCTGCATGCCCGCGTCGCGAAAAGTCAGCGGAGGAGGGTGTTCGCCGTCTCCGGCCCCTGGTGGCGCCTGCCGGGCCCCGGGGCCGTCGAAGAACGACCCGGAAAGAAAGACAGGTGCCAGGGCCGGGGCTTCCAGGAACATCGCATGTCTGGGGCCCCCTGCCTCCTCCGCCTGCTGCTGCTGTTTCTGTGGTGCCCTCCTAGCTCGGTGAGCAATGAACCGATGCACTGTCCTGACGAGGCTGGGAGCCCTCCAGCTTTCACCACGAGCGTTGCTCCACCTGGCCAGGTGTGGTGCAGAGGCTGGCTAAGCGCGCGCAAGGGCAGTGCTCGCATACCTGATGCTGATGCTACTGCTGTGCTGCTGCTTTCGCGGTGTCCGTCCGCGTTTCCTCTTACTCGGCCTCCCTGGAGCGGCTTCCGGGGAGGAGGAGGAGGAGGAGGAGGAGGAGGAGGAGGAGGAGGAGGAGGAGGAGGAGGAGGAGGGGAAGCAGGAGCAGGAGGAGCAGGAGGAGGAGGAGGAGGAGGAGGAGGAGGAGGAGGAGGAGGAGGAGGAGGAAAAAGCCCCCCTCCACTTTGAACGCTAATGAGCCTATTGGGCCCAGAGCTGTCCCGGGGGGGGGGGATCCTCGTGAGGTACGCGGCCGCGGTGTCCTCAGGCGATCGCAAACATGGATTAAGGGGGCGTGGATTAGCGACGGGTCCTGTTTCCATGGGAAATCGCGGATTTCCGCCGCCGAGCGAGGCGGCACCGGCCGCACTTTGGGGAGGGCACCTCACCCGATCCACGGAGTTGGCGACCGCGTGCCAAATCCATGAATCGCTAATCCATGTTTGCGCGCCCCCGATCCTCCTCCTCCTCCTCCTCCTCCTCCTCCTCCTCCTCCTCTCCTCCTCCTCCTCCCTCCTCTACGCTCGTCTCCTCCTCCTCCTCCTCCTCCTCCTCCTCCTCCTCCACCTGCCGCTGTGCTCTGTGCTGCTGCTGCTTCGGTGCTGCCCTCCGCCCGCTGCTGCTGCTGCTGCTGCTGCTGCTGATGCTGCTGCTGCTGCTGCTGCTGCTGCTGCTGCTGCTGCTGCTGCTGCTTCTTTCGCGGTGTCCTCATGCTGCATCTGCGGCTGCCGAGCTGCTGTTGCGGGGTCCTTTTTGTCTGTCCGGCCCGCGCCCGTCTGTCAGAGGAGGACAAGGTACCGATACCGCCACCGCCCTCGTCGCAACGGCTTCTCCTCGAAATCCTGGTCAGAACGCACCCCAGGACAGATTCTGGGAGTGGCGGCGTCGGCTTCTTTGTGTTTCCCCAGTCTTGAATCTTGCTGACCTCTGGGCCTCTTTCCCACTCTTCGCTGCCGTTGCCGTTGCTCGCTCCCCTCTGCGGCCAATGTCCCTCCTCATCCCTCCCCCATCCTTCTTCCTCCCTCCTCCCTCCCTCCTCTCTCCTCCCCCCCCCCCCTCCTCCCTCCCTCCCCTCCCTCCCTCCTCCCTTCTCCCTCCATCCCCTCCTCCCCCTCCTCCTCCTCCCTCCTCCCTCCCTCCTCCCTCCTCCTCCTCTCCTTCCTCCCTCCCTCCCTCCCTCCCTCCCTCCTCCCTCCCTCCCCTCCATCCTTCGTCCCTCCTCCTCCCTCTCTTCCTCCCCTCGTCCTCCCTCCTCCTCCCTCCCCCATCCTTCTTCCCCTTTTGCAGCTCAACGTCATTAAACCACCAGGCCGATCGCTACGGTAGGCCGGGCGTTTCGCCTGAGAACCCACTCGGAGCGGGTGATCGTCAAGGTGGAGTATTCGAGCAGCCAGCTACACTGATGGTGGGCGATCGTTTTCCAAGCGTGGCTCTTGCGCTGGTGCCGCGAACTCGTTCAACCTCTTTGCAATGGGTACGGGACTGGGTTACAGGTCGTTGTCAACATAGTGCGCGAATTGCCGCCAGAGCGGCCGTGTTTCAATCTCGAACTGTCGCTACACGATCACATCATAGCACCAGAACCTCGGACATGTACAGCGCTTGTACGGATGGAAGGCAGTTTCATTCTATGACAGGATCCTGCCTGCTGTCGCCTCAGCTTGTTTGGTCCAGCATCCGGACTCTTCTACAATCGGGCCGCTGAAGAAGGAACCCGTTTCGTTGGGGAGGGTCTCGGTGCTCCTCAATCGTTTCACAGAGTTTGCCTTTGGTTTCCCTGAGGTTCTCGATGGGAAAATCGGAGCTTCACTTCTGAAAAAAGGGACCTCGTTCCTTATTTTGGGTTCCTCGGGTCAACGCCCCGACGGTACTGACTGCAAGGATGGAGCGTGGCTCCTCTGCCAAACGGGCTGCTCGCTCCAAGGTAAGAGAACACGGGGGGCGCTCGTCTTCCAGGGGGGTGCGCCCCTCAGCGGCCACGGTTACAACCCTGTGGGGGGCCTTGGCGCGGAGGGGCCACAGCGTTGATGTGCTCTGGCGTTTCCTCCTCTTCTTCCTCCTCCTCCTCCGCCTCTTCCTCCTCATCTCATCATCATCTTCCTCGCTCAGCCACGTGCCCTCCCCCCCTCCCAGGGCTCCAGGAGGAGGAAGAAGACGATGCGCGAGTACTGCAGGCGGCACGTTCGGCAGGCCGCCGCCGACGCGCGGGGGGCCTGGTGCCAGCTGCGGAGCGCGGACCCCCTGGCCGTGAGGCCGATGACGGCGGCCCCGACGGTTTTGCCCCCGCTCGGAGGGCCGCGATATGGATGCCGCACTGCACGAAGAGTGCGGCGAGGCCGCGGACCCTTGCCGATGAGCGCCATGAGCTTTGGCCAGGGCCACGGCCCGCGCCAGAGCCGCCGTGCGCGGAGGGCGCCTCCTCGAAGCTGCAGGCCACTGCGATCAGCTCCTCGCGGCCGAAGGGGATCTGCTCCGGCACCATGGGCAGCCTCACGCGCGCAGGCAGGCGGCCGACGAACTTCCGAAGCTGCCAGGTCTCTAATCCAGCATGCCTGCCCTTGCCACCGCTCCCGTCGCTCTTGCCCATGCTCTTGCCCTTGCCCTCGCGTGACTGGAAGGCCGACGGCTCCGCTGCTGCACCAGCGACGGCATATTACCAGACCAGCTGTCGCTTTCCAACATCCGCACGGAAATAGCAGCAGCCCTCGGAGCTACAATCCACGCCGCCCCGATATCTACGCACTTACCTTCAGGTCTTTGCTGTCTCGATACGCCCGTTTTGAAACGCAGCACGCACCATGCTTAAAGCTTCCGTGTCTCATACGTTGCGTGTTGACTCAGCGTGTTGGCCCACGTTTTGGCAAACGCATCGCGTCACACTGACGTTTCCCGTCTGCGTGTGGAGTTCCGCATCAATACGCTACGTGTTGCGTGTTGCGTATCCGGGCATTTGCGACGTCTCGCTTGCACGTATCGCGTCACGCAGACGTTACCAGTCTGCGTGTGGAGCTCCGCATCAACACGCTGCGTGTCGCGTGCTGCGTTTATCGGGGCATTTGCGACGTCCTACTTGCCGTCCACCGCCATGCGCGCCACGCCACCGCGGCCACGGGGCCGACGCCAGGGCCGACGCCGCCGCCGAGGGGCAGCCGCGGGCACCGCGGAGGGTGGGCGCCGCGGGAGGGGTGGGCCTGACCAGCACGGCCACCGCCGTCTGGCTGGGCATCGCTCGGACGTGTGCACGTTTCCCTCGGCGAGGACCGCCGGGGAGCATCCGTGACCATTTGGCGCAAAAACCTCGCACGCAACCGAAGCAAAGCACAGGGGATGCACGTCCGAGCGATGCCCAGCGTCTGGAGTACAGTCGGGGCCCCGAAGAAGGAGCCCTTTTGGTTGGGGCGGGGCTCCGCGTTCCTTGAGTGTTTCGCAGCTTGCCTCAGGTTACCCTTATGTCTTCGATGGGAAGTCGAAGTTCAACTTACGGAAAAAGGGGGCCTCGTTCCTGATTCAGGCTTCCTGAGGACCACCGAGGAGCAAGCATCCTTGACCACTTGGCGAAGAAGCCACGCACGACACCGAACGAAAGCACAGGGAATGGACGTCCGAGCGATGCCCAGCGTCTGCAGCAGATCTCTGCATCTGCACGAAGCCCAGCGCTGCTGGAGAGCCCCCGCGGCGGCGTGCCGCCGCCCGGGCCGCGCCGCGCACGGCCTCCCGCGGCGCAGCAGCGCGGGCGTCCTGGGGCGGGCCCGGCCCTCGGGACGCGTGGCGGCGGTGCCGGCGGCGCGGCGAGCCGGAGCAAAGACGGCTCTGAGGAGGAGGAGGCGGAGGAGGAGGCGGAGGAGGAGGAGGAGGAGGCGGAGGAGGCGGAGGATGAACAGGATGAGGAGGAGGAGGAGGAGGAGGAGGAGGCGGAGGAGGCGGAGGATGAACAGGAGGAGGAGGAGGAGGAGGAGGAGGAGGAGGAGGAGAGGAGGAGGAGGAGGAGGAGGAGGAGGAGGAGGTCCTCTCCTCCACACACCCCTTCTCGGGCTCGTGGGGCTTGGCTTCGCCCTCCTCCCCGCTGCCGCGGAGGCGGAGGAGGGGGAGCGGCACAGGAGGAGGTGCGGGCGGACGACAGTCGGTAGAGGGAATCAATTAGGAAACACCCACCCTGCCCCCCAAACTCAGAGTTGGCACGCGCGGGGGAGACTGCGGTCGAGGTGCAACTCATCAGACCCACAGCCAACTTTGAACATTGGGGGGAGGGGGAGGCGTTGACAGATGAATGTGGCATGAGTGTTCGCTATTTTTCCCGAGGCCTGGTGGGAGGCGGCGGGGGGGGGAGGATGAACGTGAGGCGGCGGAGGTCGGAGGAGGACAGGGGCAGTGAGGAAAGAGGGCATGGGGGCGGGGAGCGGAGAGGGGTTAGCCCGGTGGCTGTGGAGGAGAAGGAGGGCGGAGGATGGGCCTCGCGGCAATGGAGAAGCAGAAGGGCCAAGGGAATGATGGTTATGAAGACGAGGACCATGATGATGACGATGATGATTATTATGATGATGACGATGCTGATGATGTTGATGATGATGATGATGCTGC